TATGGTACAATTAGTTGATGTACAATTAGTTTTTCCATAAAACAGTTGTGCTTTTTACGTTTTAAGTACATTTGTTTAGGGATCATTTCAATTTTAGTTATGTTCTTTTTCTGCAGTGTTTTTTTTTTCAATTAATTGATATCTACATTATTTTGATGTAGAATAGTAGTTGATTGTAATTTATGTTTGTTTTTTTCATTTACTATTTTTGTGTCTCTTCATTGATATATATATATATTATTTTGTGACACAGTACTAGTTGATTGCAATTTTTTTTCTTTTTGCAGTTTCTGTTTTTGTTGTGTTTTTCTTAGAGTTGTAAATGATTGAAGTTTATGTGTTCGTTATTTATATCTACATTGTTTTGTTTTAGAGTAGTAGTTTATTGCAGTTTTTGTTTTTACATTGTTTTGCTGTATAGTAGTAATTTATTGCAGTTTTGTACGTGTTTGTTTCACTTCATTGGTACTTACATTACTTTGTTATAAAAATAATAGTTGATTGCAGTTTCTGTTTTTTTTTGTTTATTATAAGGATTATGATTGTTATAGGTTGATGATCGATTATAGTTTTGGAGGTAGTTTTGGAATGTTTCGCTGAAATTATGCAGTGCATTTTTTGTTTCGTTAGAATTGGTTTTCTAGAATCTGTCGTGCAATTTAGGTTTTAAGTACATTTGATAAGGTATCATTTGGGTTTTATTTATGTTTTTTTAGGGTAGTGAAATTTCTGTTTTTGTTTTACTATATATATATTGTTTTGTATTGCAGTTTATATTATATAAACCTTAAGAATATCAATATAATATACATAAGAGTTTAAATTTGTAAATTTTGTAACTTTAAATTGATTTATTTACGTATAACTTAAGAGCATGAGGGATTTGGAACAAATTGTGCACGAATTGGTATTGAATTTTTTTTTTTTAAATTAACTATTAATATAAATATTATGTAACTGAACAAATATCAGAAAAATAAGGTTGGTGTAGTGGTTTGTAATTGAGGCTTCCTCCTTTGGTGTAGTGGTTTTTTATTATATTATTGTAAAATTGGATAGTATATTTTAGGGCTTGTTTGAGAGTGCTTCTGGAAGGGCCAAAAGTGATTTCTGATAACTAAAAGCGTCTCTGACAGCGTTTGGCAGAAAAGTTTAGAAGCACTTCTGGGTCATTGAAGCGCTTCCTGGAGAAGCACTTGCTATGTGCTTTTCCAAGAAGCACTCCCAAGTGCTTTTCCACGAAGCACTTTAATTTTTGGGTACTGATTTTCCCACTCCTTTTTTATCCACTTACACTCCATTTTTAAAAAATTGTATGTTCTCACTCCTCTTTTGTTCACTTACACTTCCTTTTATCTTATAGTAAAAAGTATTTAAAAAAACAAAAGGGAGTGTAAGTGGATAAAAAGGGAGTGGAAAAATCACCACCCTAATTTTTTATGCAAAATTCTAAATTTTTATAATAAAAGCGCTTTTGTTAGAAACGCTTATGAACAGGAGTACTTCCTAAAGAAGTGGTCCCAAACGAGCCCTTAGTCATTGACATTATCTAGAATAAGTAAAATTCTCTTATCATCTACCACATTGTTATAGTATACATTGATCTTATACCAAAACTCCCTAAATTTTATACCTCTCTTATAACGCGGTTCAAAATGTAGTGAAGTTTTATTGATTGTTGGTACGTCACACTTACAATATTGTGCACAGCTCAACAAATTTCGTGTTCATATGCTGAAGCATTCATGATCAATTTATTCTAAAAAGTCAAAATGGTACTGCAAAAGTGAAAAGGGATTGATCAAGACCCATGTACTAATTTTGTGGAGGAATTTACACAAGTTTCTCAAAATACAAAGAAACCGAAGATGAATAGAAATGAAAATATTACAGATACAAAGAACAAAACAGATGAAGAACCCAATGAAAAATTCAACTAAACAGCATTGGTCTCACATACAGATCACATTTCTGATATGCATAACAACAATTATTCCAAACCAGTCACCGGACATCATTACCCTTCAATCCAACTCCAATTAGAACAAACAATTCTGTCACAAAAAGCTTAATGCTGCAGCAGCAACCACAGAAACTGCAATGGAAACAACGCCATTAAGTTTGGAGATCAGAGTAGGCACAGCACCAGACTTCACTTCAGAAGCAGGACTGTCATCAGATGATGACGCCTTCTTAGGCTTCTCTTGCACAGGAGCCGGTGCCGGTGACGGTGGCTGAGGCTTGGGAGCAAAAACACCATAAGGCTGGAGCACACTGTCAACTTGGTAAATAGCCAATTGGCCATCAGAGTAGACAGTGCCTGAAATGGAGGTGTTGACAAGACCAGTTGATATGTTGACTGCCCTGCCTGATGTGGTGATGTTTAGTGGGTACTCAAATCCATCTCCAGCTTGGGTTCTCACTGGGTTGCTGAGAGTTTGGAAGTTTTGGACTGTGAGAAAATCTGGGATCAGATGGAATTGTAAGAGCTGGACTTTTTGCTCATCACTCAAAGAGTTGAGTGATCCTGTCTTGAGCTGTGAGAAGCCGTTATCAGTTGGGGCTAAAACTGTGAGTTCACTGTTTGAGTTGTTGAGTTGGCTGTAGAGCTGGTTGTCAACTTGGGTGCTTTTCAAAAGGCGGATAAAGATGTTGAAGCCGCCTGCTTTTTCAAGGACTTTGGTGATGTTGGTTGGGCCTAGTGACGCAGGGGCATCGGCTGGTGGTGATGGCACTGCCGGCCCGGTAATTGATGGGGCAGCAGGGGCAGCTGGGGCAACTGGGGCAGCAGGGGCAGCAGGGGCAGCAGCAGGGGCCTGGGCTAAGATTTTGGTGCAATGGGAGAGGGCGATGAGCAGGAGTGTGAATGAGAAGAGAGGCTGATTCATCATCTTCATTTTGAGTGTACTTGGATTGGATGTGGCTTCTTAATTTGCTTGGAAACAATTAAGAAGCACAAGGTGTTTGGTATTTGGAGAAGGTGTTTGATATGAGTTTTGAGGGTAAGGAGGAGGGTTTTTATTTGTGGTGGGAGAGGAGGGATTAGGTGAGAGAAGCTTAATTTTGTGAGCAGTAATGCAACCTTAGTAGTTAACATGTCTGTCTTTGTTGGGAAGGAGAGAATGAATGCAAAGTGAGATTATGGTGTCAGAGCTACTAGTTTGCTTGGGAAAGCAGGAAGAAGAAAAACAGAAAGCAAATCAAGTGGGTGTGGGCAAATAAAGCTATACAAGTGTATGATTGCTTTGTTTTCACTTATCATATGTATGCATATGCCGAGCTTAGCACCAAACCAGAAATAAAGAGATGCATATGATTTGCTTGCAATAACAAACTTAAGGAACAAGTGTGGCTTTTTGCTTTTTGGCAAGAGCAAATGATGATGATGATGATTGATGAGGATTTGCAACTTGTACATATGCCCTATGTATGGCCCAACCTCATGGATAAAATCCCTTGCTTTGTGTCCCTCCTGATTCCTCCAAGGAGGTCACCTTCACAAATCTTTCTATTTTCCTTCTGGGTTTTTTGGTGCAGGGGCCTCTATCAGTTGACATAGCCATGTTGATTCTGAAATTTCTTTTTCTATGTGTTTCATTGAAGCAACTTATAATAAATTGAACATGTTAACTTCAGATATAAATAATTACCTTATAATTAAAGTCAAAACCAAATCTGTGAAACTGTATTTTTTTTTTTTTTTCTCTTCTGGTATTTGTAAATTGAAAAAATGAAAGTTGTAACTTTAACAATTAGCATACCTTCGTACATTTTCTCTCTATCTCACACTAAAAACCAAAAACAAAGCAAATGCGGGTTAAACTAGTTGGCCAAGTCAATGCGGCGACCGCTTGCACTCAATTTCGACCTCCCTCCATTTGTCTTAGTTGTCTTGGCATCGCTAGACTACTAAAAGTTAAGTAACGACAAGTAGTAGAGAATCAATTGTACTTTTACTTTTAGCTGAGATTATTTCGAACAGAGAAAGAAGAAAATTAGAAAGGGTTCTTGCCCATCAGCCTTGTCATCTCCAGTTACAAATATTAGCCCATCTCAGAAACCCACGTAGAGCCAACCCAACCCAAATAGTGAATACACAACAAAATGAAAGGAAAGGAGGGAGTGACAATTTATGATGTGACTTATACCCAACATGAAGGTGTTTTTTTTTTTTTGTTTTGTTTTGTTGGGATACCCGACATGAATTTTCAGTGGTTTAGGTTGATCGTTACTAGACACACGAACACTGATAATAAACAAGTCAAGTTAATGTAAAATTCAACAATTCAATTTCCACACAATAAATAAAATTAACTAGCATTACATGAATTCAACTTATCATTGCGTTTAGAATACATCTTAATTACTTTGTACTTATTTTGAAGAAATTAATTTTTCTCATGAATAAGTATTGTATTAAGTGTTGTATAATAATATGACATTCTTTCTTTCTTTTATTATTATAGTTTTACAAGTATTCATTGACTAAGTGAAACTTTATCTTATAAGTAAACCATAAGGGAGAGGTTTTGTTTAATTAAGAAAATAATTATGTATGTGAGTCAATTCGAATCATTGAGTCAATTCGAATCATTTTACGAACAAACTAAAATGAGATAACACACCATTTGGTATAAAGTTAATCGTTTTTTTTTTTATGCACACACAAAATGTCACTACTTAAAATGAGATAACACTCCACCAATTCAGTGTTAATTAGATTGGCCCAAGCTTTTAGTGTGCTCCCAAGTAATTTTGAATTCATAGCTCCCTGATCCCGTGTGTGTGAGTTTCCTCTGCCCTTTCTAAATTTGGGGGGAAAAAATGATAACACATCGTTTACTTCGCAACACCAACGCGAAATGACACAAATGGTCAAACTCCTCTAGTTTTTCTTTTTTCTTTTTCAATTTTTCTACAAGTTAACAACCAGCAAACACGTGGAATCGCCCTCATCGTTCCTAACACTGACCTCCATCTCCATTTGTTCTCTAAAGTCCAAACTCCAAAGTCAACCATGTTCCAAAAAGAAGAAAACAAAAACCACACTTTCCCTTTCCTTTCCCACTTTCACAATCTCATCGGAGACACCAATACACCGCGAAGCACCCGATCCCTCCTCTCGCCGAGAAGAAGAACAGCATACAAGAAAAGAGCACCCAGTCAAAAACACTCTACGATGTTGTTTCTGTCTTAGAGTCTGTTACTCTAAATTTCGTCGACGATGTTCAACAACGGCTACAACAACAACAACAGAAACGGATTGAACTCGATGTCGCCCACATCATCATCGACAACGACGACGACCCAAACGACGTCGTCTTCTTCGTCTTCCTCAGCGGCAACAACAAATTCCCAAACCCAGTCCCTTATAAAGGCCTATTTCAAAACCCCAGAGGGCCGCTACAAGCTTCACTCGGAGAAGACTCGGCCTCCCAATCTCCTTCCTTATTCGTACGCCAAGTCAATTTCTCAGGTACCCAAACGAATTTAATTGATTAGTGTGATCCAAACAGGGCCTAATTAATTGCTGGGTTAGTTGTCTCTCTCTTTCTCTCTCTGTTGACTCGGAGTTAGTCAGTGTTTGGTTGTGAATTTTAGGTGACCGTAGCCCAGCTCAAGGATAAGCCTAGCCAGCCTGGGCTGACGCCCAGTTTCAGCACCACAGGAGTGAGGTCTGCAGCGGCGAGGCTGTTGGGAGGAAATGGTGGCAAAGCTCTCAGCTTTGTGGGAGGGGGTGGCTATAGCAAAACCAGCAATGGAAGTAGTAGAAGTAGTCATTTTGCAGGGTCTAATGGGACTCATTATACAAATAGTTCCAGTCACGGTGGCAAAGGGTTCTTTTTGGTTTTCAATGTTGGAGATACTGTTTATATCAGTGACCTCAATTCGCCTGACAAGGTAAATTTGGTGTTCTTTGGGATGTGTTTGGTTTTTTTTGTTGGGTTTGGACAATTTGGTTTTTGTTTTTTGGGAATTTTGGGAATTTTGTGTAAAGGGTTGTGGGGAATTTGTGTGCAGGATCCTATAAAATCATTGCATTTTAGTAATTCGAATCCGGTGTGTCATGCATTTGATTCTGAAGCCAAGGATGGGCATGACTTGCTTATTGGATTGAGCTCTGGAGATAGTAAGAATTTCTTTGTATATAGTCTACGGGGTTTTCTGAAGATGAGGCTGTTTGTGACTTGCTTACTCTGTGTGTTGTTGTAGTTTATTCGGTGTCTTTGAGACAGCAATTGCAAGATTCTGGAAAGAAGCTTGTTGGTGCCCAACATTATAACAAAGAAGGTTCTGTTAGTAGCAGGCAAGAATGTAGTCTGAACTTCACTTTCTGACACTTTTTTATCTGTTTACTTTGTCTTCTTTATTGTTCCTGTTGTTGTGGCTGTATGTTTCTATCGGGAACGGAAATCATCATCATTTATGGTGTACAAATGTGGGTTGTTGTATCAACATCTTGAAACACAGTTTGCTAATGTATGTATAAATTGTGATAACTAAGCACTCTGTCTGTTGAGTTTGGATGGAATATACTTAGCACACACTCTGTTTTGGGTAATTGGGGGCACTGGGCCCACACAAACTAACTACTTGTTTTTAGCAGTCGGTGTACCAGTATTGCATGGGTTCCCAAAAGCAACGGTGTTTTTGTTGCTGCTCATGCTGATGGAAACTTGTATGTGTATGAGAAGGCAAGCCTTAACCTTTAGCTTTTCTTTTCTAAATGCTATTTTCTTCTTGTCTGGTTTTACTGTTTCTCTTGTTCTACTACATAAACTAAAATCAGTGTAATTTATTTTAGAGTAAGGATAGTGCTGCTGAATCTTCTTTCCCTGTTATAAAGGATCATACTCAATTTTCGGTGTCTCATTCAAGATCCAGTAAGGTAATATAAATGGTTAAAATTTCATTGCATGTATTAAGTAGTTCATTGTTATGCATATTTGCTGCATATGTAAAACCTTGGCTTTTAAAGATCACTCTATTATGATCAGGTCCAGATCATATTAATACTGTTGTTGGCCATTATAACCAACATTTTTGTTGTCGCTGCTTCTACATTACTCACATATGGCTAATCAAAATTGGAACTTTGTATTTCCTTCAAGAACCAAATATAGAACTATTGACCATCTTCCTTGGGGTTTCTTGTTTTCTTCACCATTTTTTCCTTTTTATGTTTTATCCAGAGTAATCCAATTTCCAGATGGCATATTTGCCAAGGTTCAGTAAACAGCATTGCTTACTCACCAGATGGGACATATTTGGCAACAGTTGGTAGAGATGGTATTTCTCTATCTGTTAGGCTTGTGACTTTATGGATGAGTGCATCTGTTAATTGGTGTTGATGTTGGGTGCTATATGTAGGCTACTTGCGAGTATTTGACTACTCAAAAGAACAACTAATTTTCGGTGGCAAGAGTTACTATGGTGCTCTTCTTTGTTGCGCCTGGAGGTAAAAGGATTTTTTATTTATTTAAAATTCTTCATTGACATTTGAATTATGCTCGATCAAGTCTAAACCCTTGTGTATCACATGATGTCTTCATTAGTGATATTTGTCATAAAGAATTACGCCTTATGATGCTCCTATTTGACCTTCATTACGTGTTGTTTCTCAGTCCTGATGAGAAATACATTTTGACTGGAGGGGAAGAGGATCTCGTTACAGTATGGAGCATGGAAGATCGAAAAGTAGTAGCTTGGGGTGAAGGGCACAACTCATGGGTACAGTTTCAGCAGAACTTTGTGCATATTAATTGAGTTCTCCCTCCCTCCCTCTTTTCATTTATCATAACTCATGGAAATCTTACACCTTATAGCCTTAATGTTTGCAGGTTAGTGGTGTGGCTTTTGACTCATATTGGTCACCACCAAGTTCAGATGACACAGAAGAAAATATTGTCTACCGTTTTGGTTCTGTGGGTCAGGTATTTGCTTTTCTTCCCATCTCTACCCCCCCAAAAGTCAATGCTGAGATCCCATTCTTAGCTTATTTAAGAATACAAATCAGTTAAGAGCTTATCTTTATCAGCTTATAGTATTTTATATCATTCCAACTCCGTCCCATCACCCTGCTAAGCTACACATACTATTGAAATTTTCTCGTGATGGTTAGTATCAAATTATATTTAGCTATAAGATTTTTTTTTTTCCCAATGGAGACTAAATCATTTAACTCCAATAGCTAGGTGTTTGATTTTCAAAATATTTGGTCTGCAATCATGGCTGTACAAATTTGCTGGAATCAAAGACATAATCTGGGACATGATTTATTTTTTAGCCTAATATTGGTCCATGAAATATTTTCTTCTATGGTGTGACACTGTGCCAATGTTATTTGCTTGTCTTGCTACTTCCACCACTTATACACATGTTTACAGGACACAAAATTACTCCTGTGGGACTTGCCTATGGATGAGATTGTAGTGCCACTTCGCCGGAGTTCACTTGGTGGATCTCCAACGTTTAGCACCGGTAGCCAGTCATCCCATTGGGACAGCACTTGTCCAGTTGGCACCCTTCAACCTGCTCCAAGCATGCGGGACGTTCCAAAGCTCTCCCCACTAGTGGCACACTGCGTTCATTCTGAGCCCCTATCTGGCTTAGTTTTCACAGAGGAAGCAATTCTCACTGCATCTTGGGAAGGGCATGTCAAAATTTGGAAGAGACCAGGCGAACCTGAAAGTAAATCAAACTCAGAATCCCTGGTCGGTGCTAGTTCAAAGGACCAACCCCTCACGGGCAAAGGTTACACAGAATTGTCGAAAAGCAAGCAATTGGCTGAAAGTAAATCGAACAACTCAAAAACCCTGCTAGGTGCTAGTTCAAAGGACCAACAATCACTGACAAGCAAAGGTGGTGTTTTTAATTTCAAAGAAATGTCAAAAAGCAGTCGATTGGGATACCTTCCATAGAGCTGAATCTCCGTTTGAACCTGTAATTATGCCACTTCCAACGACTTGGTGCCTTCAGATTATCATGTAAATGCATACCAGTATGCACAGAGGACATAATCTAGCTCAAGGTAATCAACGACAATCTCTTTTAGATAAGAGGGATAGAGAGGCGTAGAGAGAGATGCACTTGTTATAATTGTGTTGTTTTTTCGGGTTTTGCTAGAGTAGGTTTACAACTTACAACTCACCAATGCTCACATAATGGTGACCGAAAATTATCCATAGAACAATACATGTACAAATGCCATTATTTTGCATCTGCAGGGGCGCAATCTTTTCATTATCCTTGTAACTTAAGAGAATCTACTTTTGTAATGATTACCGAAAATAAAACAACATGCGTCTTCTTTGCTTGAATTTTGACTGCATTGGTGTATATAACACAAATGTTCTCTTACAGTATGGTTCATTTATTTTGTATGGTTTTGAATATGAATGCTTGTTGGTTTGGTTTCGTGTCTAACAGAATGATTCTCTTACAGAAAATTTTATTTTCAAAGTGTATTAAATTACAAGTTAGGGGCAACCAGCTACAATTGTGGGCATATGCCATCACCAAAATCCTAAATTCAAGCATGATGAATAAATGAAATTCATGGCCACGCAACCATAAAAGACATATCAGTTGTTCTCAGGACAAAGTACCTACCATGATATCTTCCCCATTTATTTGTAAATTTCTGAAATATGGAAATGTGGACTAGATTTTTAAAAAAAATACTGCTGGTTTAGCAATCACTAGCAACAATTACACGTTTGACTGCTCTCCAAGGTAATGCTGCTTTCCCAGCTCACTTGCCATATAGTGGAGGACCCCTAAAAACACAACATTTTCATACAGCAAGCTTATCTAAAATACATTATACAGAGCCAAAAATTTCTTAGTGGCCTCGATTTAGCATGTTCTGAACTCCTAGTCCGCTTTTGCTTCAGCTAATTTTCTCTTTGCCAATGCATCCTCCGCTTTTACTTTCTCAGGAACATAATCTATGCACATAGTTGGTTATGCATCAGGCAACATAAATTAAGGCGGAGTAATACCATATATTTAACTATCAGAGCAATGAGTTGAAACTTAAAAGATACCTGAAAGAAAGTCATATCTCTTTTGTTTAGAAACAACTGAGGCTGAAACAAGAAGAAAGCAAGTTATTATGACTGGGAATTAACATTACCTGCAATAAGCAACTAGGACTGTATGTCTCATAGGTTTTAGCTAGACCGATTCTGATAATAATTATCTTTCAAGAACTAGATTTCTCCCTTGTTGACACCATTTGTAGGAACTTGTAAGCGAAGTTTAGTAATCAGTTTCTAGTAAATGGATGAGAAAAAGGTTCCGTTGATAAGCTCTGCACAGTCTAACTCTAAAATGGAAAAACTTTTTAGTGCGGCAGCCAGAGGGCTTTTTCAAACACAAATGCGACTATCAGAAAATGCAAACAAGCAAAGGAAATAACAAAACAAATGAGAGGTTCTTCACTTTTAACAAAATATTCTGTACATGACTTACCCACTCTAAGTTTTCAAGCTGTCAAATGCTTGTTTTACATTGAACAATCTACATCAAAACATTGTTCCTTCTAACAGTACAACTTGGTGTCCATTTTCTTATGCACAAAACATATGCCTGTCGTTAACTTGCCCACGAAATACGACACAACTCTCTAGTAAAGATGGCCATATGATGTTCATAAGGAATACCAATTAAGGACATTAACAATAGCAAGACAAGTCAGAGGTCATTCTGAACTCCCCACTGGATCCATACTCTCCATTCCTTTCCAAATGGAGAGGTGCTACATTCACGAGGAAAACGAGATGCTAACCCGATTTCCATTTTGATTTGAGCATGTAAAACAATACCTCAAATGATGAACCAAATCATGAGAATGCAATAGCAGTATCACATATGAGAAAAATTCTGAATATCATTTCAAAGCTATAAACCAAAAAAATTGAACCAATTTGATCCAAATGTTCAGTATTCATAACAATGCACTAACCACAGACAAACTACTGCTACTTGTCAGTTACAAACAGATTCAACATAAAAAATGAAACTTTGAAATAAATCCAAAAAATATATAAATCAATTTATAAAAAGAGTGAGGAAGATAAGTTACATACATAGGTGCTTGTAAGCAAGAGACTTTTTCCTATCCTTAACACAACAAGCATGTGCATCTTCACAAAACTTCTGAAGGAACTTCTCCTGCAACAGAATTTTAAAAATATTTAATAATAAAATAAAATAAAATATATATCGAAACCCTAAATACTAAAATCGAGAGGCAGAAGAGAATACAGTGGCTTTGTTGACGAGGAAAACGGCGTCGTGGCTAATGCGCATCTCCGAATCTTCGCTTCTGATAATCCTCTTAACGCGCTCCATCGGAAACGTATACGACTTCACCTCCTCTTTCTCTTCGACCTCTTCTTCTTCTTCTTGCTTCTGCTTTCGTTTCTTGTTGCTCTTCTTCGATTTCGAGGTGGGCGTTTTCGTAATTTTACCCTCATTTTGCTTTGTGTCTTTCAGGGACTCCGAGCTCGACGATGGAATCTCCTCTACGTCGGAGTCGCTCACATTGCCATTGCTGGTCTGGTTCTTGTTGCTGATCGTTTTCTTGGTGCCGGGCTTCTTTGTTTCTGGGGTTTTCTTGATGCTTGGCTTCTTTGTTTCTTGGGTTTTCTTCGGTGTAATGGCTTTGCTGCTCGGCTTCTTTGTTTCTTTGCTCTTCTTTGGTGTTATGTCCTTTCTGGGCGTCGCCATTGTTTGGGAGATCCCTCTGCTGCAAATGTTTTGAATAAAATCTTGGGCTGGAAAATGGTTTTGTTTTGGGGCTTTAGTTGTGATTTGTGAAAAGCCCCTGTTTTCTCGACCTCGGAGGCCTCAAGAAGGTGAGGTATGTACACAGCCAAATACGGTGCGTTTTATTCTTGGGCCTGGCCCCTCATTACCACATTACCAAGTAAGCTTGGCATATAGGGGAGTTCTGTTCGTTTTAAACCGCGTATGGCAAAGTTTATATTACTTCAACCACGGTGTCAATTGATATTATTTGGGATCCACAATTATTATTTTTAGCTATTATCTTCTGTAAAATTTGAACTCATGATACTCGATAAATTAGAGTCTAAATGTTAATGGACTAAATTATCAATGGCATTAAAACCAACCTCACAATTATTATTTTTTTAATTATTATTGTTTGTAAGATTTGAACTCAGATTCTTCGACAAAGTAGAGTCTAAATGTCACTAAATTAAGCGATCATTGGCACATGAGATCCACCTTTATTGTTTTATGACCACAATACCTTGTGGGACCCACATCTTAAAAAAGAAACGAAATGTCATTGAGTAACTTCCAAAAGTTCACGTTGCATCTTCGCTTGTCAATTGGACATCTCAGGTGGAGATTTTTTTGGTTTGGTTGGTTTAGGCTCTTATGGCAGACCTAAATAAATCAATGAAATCACAGCAAGATTTGGCCTTTAAAAAATATGTATATTATGCCAACGGGGTCTAGCCCAATGAAAAAGGGGTATTTACTTATAGACAAGATATCTCAGGTTCGAACTCTCATGACATCATTTGTGTGTGTAAAAAGTTCATCTTCCCTAATTTAGACTATCGCTTATATTAAAAAAAAAACTATACATTACAAAGAAGATCCACTTGAGATCTGTAACACATACAAAATTATTAGCCTAATTGTATCAAATCAAATTCATTTAGTGATTAGTTTGGCAAACCCAAGCAGAGCTAGCCCTTGCTTATCCCTCATACGCACACAACCCATTAGTGCTTTGGCCCAGCCCTCATGACCTTGGAGTTGGAGATTCCATTACCTACCAATTCTCTGAACACAGCCTGAGTAGGTCGTTTTCGCTTGTTAAACGTTTACATGTGTCGGTTTGTTGTTTTACATTAACAAATCTGTAGACAGAATTATTCCCAAACAATACAGTACATTAGTTTTAGGTTGTAACCATAGATTAGGTAAAATTATATCAAGATGTGTGATTTAATTGATAACATTCGAGTGCAAGAGACGAACATACTATTTTAGTCAACTAATCTAACCTACCCGCATCGGTTAATATGCGATTACACTTTAACAATGCTACAAGTAGTACAAGCCTTTAATTATGTTAAATTGTCAATGTGCTTGTTTGTGGCAGCAACATATTCCCGTGTCATTATTGTCCCCACTTCCCTAGTTACCAAAAAAATCAAAGATAGATTTAGATAGGCCATCACCATCGAAAAACTCAACCACCACTCAGACCAAAATTAAATCTTTACCACTACAATAATGTCACACCAAACTTCATCACGTGGTATCCTTAAATCACCATTGCAATATTGTCCTCCACCAAAAATATCATTCAAACTTTGTCCAAGTATCCAAATATTTCTTTGAAAATTTTGTCCACCACTAGGATTATTATTTGGAAATGGGAATTTCAAACATGGAGTATAATAACAGCTCGAATCGAGTGATTAAGAACAGGTATTCCTATATTCGGTTCATGTATTCGAAACTCCCACTCTCAATATATCGTTTGTAAGGAAAAAAAAAGTATAAACAAAACAATTCATCCACAACAATACTTTTATTTCTTGTGAGATACCCATTAGATCACGATAGTGCGTTGAGCCTACTCTTTTGGGGATAACCAAAATGTATGAGGTCAACTGTGTCTTCATTTAGCAATGGGATTTGGTATCAAATCATTGGTTAGCTTTAGAAATAGGGAGACTCGTGGGAGTACTTAAACGAGCACATATATGAACAAGTGTCAAACCCTTTATTATTTGGTGGCTTAATTTACTTTGAAGTGGTTGGTTTGGATTGGATATTAGTGGTATATATTTGGTATATCTAAGTAGCTTTTGGCAATTGAGTTGGACCATTTTATATGGCACTCGCTAGCTGCACGCCTGCACCGCCCAAAAACAAAAAGCATCTCATTTTTCCGAATAGGCCAACCCTAGCTAGGCATCTAGGTCAATAGGCATATAATTGGACATTGTTGCATTCCTATTTTCTGCAAATTACAGTTTGATATATATATGCAAAAATAATTCATCAAAAACACATATCAAACTGTGTTGGTAGAAAAGTAGTAGTTCCTACTTCCAAGAAAAGGGGTGAGTATTTTCGTGTCTAATTTTTATGATAAATTCTCATACTCATGCAATTGAAAAATGTATATTGGCCCCAGGCGCTTGTGAATAGAGCAGACTTTGTTGGGAGAGGTCCCCGCTTTGCGCTCGACAGTACCTCGAGGGTTAATCCCCGCAATCGCGCGGGGTATACCTTGGTTTTCACCCAAAAAAAAAAATGTATATTGGTTTACCACTATTTCCAAACCCAAGAAAATGTGTTATGTTTCATCAAACCAGGAGTTTCAATTGGCTTATGTAAAAGTGCAAATTAATGCCAAAAGCAATGTCTATTTTGAGTTCTTGGAAAAACACTTGATATATGTTCCTCCTTGAGAAGGGACAGCTTCTAGAAGAATTATGTAAGCGGTACTTGTGCTTTTACAGAAACATTAATTCTATTTGGACACACAACATTGACACACTTAGTGACACCCGCTGATGTGTCAATGTATCATTTGCTTTTCTTTTCTCCTCGTTTTCTGTTCAGCGAATGATACATTGACACATCAGCGGGGTGTCAACTAAGTGTGTCAATGTTGTGTGTCCAAATAGCATTACTCTTATTAATTTCATGTGGTTCATCTGTGTAACAACCGACAAATGCATGTTGCTCACTTGTGCTTTTTAAGAGGCCTCTGAATATTAGAGATGGTAAGCCAAACTATCATGTGTATAATCACCTCTATTAAGGTTAACGGATTTTCTTAGAGTATCATAAATGCGATCCTCCAAGTTTGTGTGAAATAGGTAGCACTGGATTCGGTTTGGTAATCAAACCGATTTGGTCAGATCGGTAGTCGAACCATTCTGAACTATAATAGAAAAATCACGACCGTTGTCGCCATCAACAGTGGCAATTTACCAACTTTCAATATCACCCATTAAGACGGTCAGTCTGGTTCGATAATGAGTCAACCATTGATGAGAGTATTTGGGCTTTTAGCCCAGTTTTTTGGGAACTTTTCGGGCCATTCGTGGCCATTTTTTTAGCCAACTTTGAGGGAAATTTTGAAGCCCAATTTTATGCTCGTTTCTGGGCAAATCAGAACACTCAAATTAGTAAAAACCCTCAATCAAAACCTTAATGTAGCTGAAAATTCAAATTGAAACCCTATTCAATACTTACCCAGCGACGAAGAAGAAGAGACAGCAACAATGGAGGTGAGAGGTTTCAGAGAGTTTATGGATTTGATTTCAGAAAGATGAGAGGTTTTTTTGAGGATTCAATTGAGAGAGATGAGAGGTTTTGATCGAGAGAGATGAGAAGTTGCAAAGGTTTCAATTGATGGTGGAGGCGATATAGATGGATTTGAGAGGAGGAGAGGTTTGAGGTTTAAGATTTTTAGTTTTGGGATGGCTCAAATTTTTGAATCGATGATACCAACAACTCTTACATGAACTTTGTGATAAAGAGCGTGCCATGTATGAGTCCTACATGATTTTATCAATTCATGAGACACGCGTATTGTAAAAATGTTGAAATAAAGAGTTTGAATAACTCCCGATGTCACTAGTATTTTCCATCTAGCTCCGTCACAACCATTGAGGTGGTCAATGATGACAAATAATGGTACTAGAACTATATGAGTAGTAATATGATTAGTCTACTTTATACGAAATTCAACGTCACCTATACGACTACACACAAATAAGAGGAACTTTTTGTTTTCAGGTCCCCAAACTAATTCCACTTCAACGCAAGAATCCTCTGTGCTCCGACAAGCGACGTGATCCACCGCCTCAACCGAAAAAATTCTCCAACCTTAGGCTATCAATATGCTTTCTGTCCGTCACTTGTTAGGTAAGCTGGGGGCGCCCATGGTGTGGATTACAGGTGGTTTGCATTTTAGTAGTTTTTTCTTTTTCTCAAGCAAGGAAATAAGGCTAGGTACCATTTGAAGATAATCGACAGGCATGTATCACATCCGGACAGGCATGCGTAGGCCATATGCCCCGGCAAGCTTGGGCAGCTCACAAGCTACGAATGATGAACCTTCCACTCAACAATAACGTTACAAAACCACCCATTCAATGTTTTTCAAATGTATCGCAGCCAAAAATGAAATGTTTTTTAAAATGTGTACGCCTTAGTTTCCTTTCGGCATTGAGATGATTTGGGTAGAGAAACTTAGCTAGATCCGTTTCATACCTCTTTTAATTTTCATATCTCTCTCTCTAATACGAGAGACAAATAAAAGACGAAAAAAGCATAAAGCCGTGACATGTAAATTTTTCTCTAATTTGAGGCTGTGAGTCGCTGACAACTTGACAAGCACTTGTGACTCATGCCAACCTTATGGACTACCAGTCCATGCTAAAGTTAAAGTTGGATATTAATTAAAAAGACACAGACAAAATTACATATCAACAAACAATTAAATGAATAATAATATGAATTATGAATGAAAGATACTTTTTTTTATACAAAATAATAATAAAAAAAAATAATACAAATGATATGGATGAAGCAAGATACTCTAATTTATGATACCGACGCAAATTAGATTATCTACAGTGACATATTTATATATCAATTGAGTAAATAGTATAGATTAAGACAGGTGGAAGAATGGTAAATTGTTCTCTGTAGTGACTTTGGAGCAGATAATGATATTTGTCTGCAAACCTTTGTTGTTTTCAAAGTCGTGCATGAGATTGAGGCGAGACTCACTTTTCTCTTTGTCAAGTCCTGCGTGACGACAACCGTGACCTAATGGTATGTCGGACTAAATTCAGACTAGATTATCATTATG